GTGTTGAAAGAAGCATTGGTTCCCTCCGCTGATGAAAATATACCGCTTGTTTGGGTGTTTCACCTACACCCAACATATCAAAAATTGATTGAAGAAGTCAGAAATCAGGGTTTTATACTGGTCAACACAATTATCTGATCTTCACCCTTTGGAAAAATCTTTGGAGTATAATATAGATAGCAAAATCAAAACAAATTCCGAAACAGATAAACATAACCTCTCAACAAAGGTTAAGGGTGCGAGGAATAGTGTACCCAATGTTCAAATTGATCGTTTTATAAATTCAATTCCTCGTAGGCGTGCTGCCGTAATCAAAAATAATGCTTACGATGTCGATTACTTGCTAAATTTACTTACTCGCATTTAAAAGAAAAAAATGTTGCTTTGGACCAAACAAAAATTGGGCCAATTTAGTTTCCCATATAATATTTTTAATTTCAAAATAAATTTTGTGTTTATGTGTTTTGTTTTCTAGAAGTGAATAAATTACCTATTTATTTCTGAAAAACTTTCAATATAAGCTTATTTAAAAAAAAATACAGTGCATTTTTTCAGTTTGCAATTTAAGTTGCTTTAGTTTTGGCCACCTCAAAAGTATCAATGGATATATCAGATTTATTTCTATGGTATAGGGTAACACCGTATGATGTAGGTTATACAAGTGCCCTAATGAATGGCGAAAGTTGCTTTAGTTGTGACGAAGAAAAAATTTGGTCAAATTAGTTTTTCATAGAATATTTTTATTTCAAAATAATTTTTCATCTATACTTTTTGTTTTTCAATTGTGAATAAATTATCTTTTTATTTCTGTTTGCGGTTTGCAATTTAAGTTGCTTTAATTTTGGCCACCAGTGCATATCCTCAAAAGTATCAATGAATCTATAAGGTTTATTTCTATGGTACAGGGTAAAACAGCATGACGAAATGACCAATGTACAAATTCTTACGTCAATTAACTACATAGTTTAAATATTAAAAATAACAGCCGATTTAGTTCACTTCATGAAAACATTTAATTGACAAACTGTATATTTATGTTTCTAAAACAAATAAAAAAACATATAAGAACATATACGACTTTCTTATATCCGTTGTCTACTGTATCTTCGATCTTCGTTAGTGACTTTCCGATCGCAGATTCATTATCTCAATGACTTCGCTATCAATAGTTAATAACAACTTAAATACAAACTGAGACCGGCCTCCACTCGAATTTTGTTGATGAGCTGCGTAAACAATGTCGAAGATCGAATAGTGGCAGTGGTAGGTGGTATTCCGCTGACATTGTTCTTTTGCAAAAAAAAAAAAAAAAAAACATCGCTAATTATGCATTAGCTCAGAAAGAGAAAGAACAAAAAAGACAATAACAAATATGTAAAAATGTTTGCGTTAGCTACTGACAAGAATAGGAGATTCTTATAGATTTGTAGGTTTCTGTTTGCGTCACATTCAATATCTCATTTAAGCTCCGACAAATTTTGTTCAATTTGATTCAAATTTAGATATAATTTGTTATATAAAACTTATTTGAAATATACCAATAATACAATATTTGATTTTATTTGTTATCCTGAAAGATCATATCCCAAATACCCAAGAATTGAATTGAAGAGGAATATTTCTTCAAAAGCCACTAAACCTTTAAGTTCTCATAGCTTTACCAAGTAAAAACTCAAAATAATTATCAAAATTATATGGAGAAATTATATATTCAAATATATGACATAAGCGTAATGAACGATTAATGGTTAAATAATACATTTATTAATGACTGCAATATAACCTATAAATGTTTATGATAGTTATTGTGGACCCCTTGTATATCAAAAAATATCAACTGGCTTCCAATTCAAAATATTTCCTGGTCAGTTATTGCCATTATTTAATAATTTTGTTCACAAAATATTTGTAAACCATTTAGCGGTTAAGATAAATTAAAAAAAAAAAAACAACAACAAATAATGTTCCGACACAAATTGGACTAATTAAATGTTCCAAAGTTGGCAAAAACATGAAATATCGATATGATTTGATAAATGTAAAACAAACGGTTGGCTCATTATTCTGCCAAGTCCATAGATCAATTTGGAATTGGGACCTGTGAAATAGCGTTCGCATTTTTTTAAGATAATGATAATGTGAAGGTAATCAATTTAAAAGTTTTTATTATTTTTTCGCCACATTTGACTGATAAGCCATGGAAAAATATTCCGAAAGAGAAATTGAGAGAGAGAAGGCGTTCGGTATTTATTGATTGCTGAAATTGAAATTGAATTAAAGAACTGATAAGATTTTATTAATTGTTCATGCTTGGTTTTGAAATTAATGCTCAATTATAATTTAGAGAGCAAAATGTAAAATACATTTGTTTTTTTATTTTAAAATTTGTGTTTCTTAATGTTTTACAAGACCTTGCTTTAATTTCCCTTTTTGGACTTTATTTCTAGGCACTAGCCAAGAATCTGTGAAGATGTCAAAGTTCTTCAGGGTACGACATTTAATGTCTGTTTACATTTGTTGGCCGGAATAACAATGTACGTATGTGTGTTACATACCCTTTGGACTTCATGGCAACCCCCGAACCTGGTTGGTACTAGCGGAGAATTACTCTTGGCAATTATCAAATTAATTCAATTAATAAGGGAATGACCGGGTGATTCCCTCTCCATCTCTTGCTTATTTTCAGTTCTCGGCTCTCTTTTGTGCTCAGGTTTCTCAAAATGTTATAGTTTCGCCACTTGATATAATATTTATAATTTTGTTTTGTTTTTTTATTTGTATTTTCAAAATAATAATTGTGCTGAATGTGATAAGAAAACGATTCTCAAAAGAAACAACAAGAACAACAACAGCAGCAACAATCTGAGAACGCCAGCGACTACGACGCCGTGTTATTTGGACAATCTTCTTAAAGGCTGGACTACATAAACGTGCTGACACAACGCTTTGGAACTCACAAGGGATCAACATTCAATCGGAAACATTAGTCGGTTGGAGTAACGTATCGATTGATGATCAACAAGTAATTAAAAAAAAAGAAATAAAAAAATATCCGTCCGTTAGAACTTAGCTATTCTATAGGACTCAAAGCAAACTACTGCCGCCTAGAACATTCCCCTCTTTAATCCTGTGATAATTTCGAACAAATTTTAGTTAATCAAAAAACAAAAACGTAAGTGATCATCAAATGAAATCAAAGTGCATGTATTTGAATTAATTGGAAAACAGAAACAAAAAACAAATAATTGAAGAATAATTTTGCATAATGTCCCATTGCATGTGAAAAGAAATTAACTAAACAGAAAAATTAAAAAAGAAAATACAAAGCAAATATTTGTTTTACTTAGCATTATTAAGTAATTTGGTGAATTTCTATTAAACGAACGATTTGAAAATTGTTAAGTGCCCTTTAGCAAATGTGATGAAATGTATACACAAGTGTTAAAAAAAAAAAATAATTAAAAAAATAATAAAGTTTCAATGGACAAACATTTTTTTTAAAAGGAATAAAATTGTGTATGAAATCAATTGCAAAAATATATATTAATTTTTTTAATCTCAATCATAGTAAAATAGAGTCTGATTTTTTTATGAATATATTGTCATAATTTTAAGAAACTTGGCTTCAGAATACTACATAGTTTCCCAATTTTATACATTTACATGACCATCAAATAAGAAATAAATTGTCTTAGGCCAAGGCATCTTTTAATTTTTTTCAAGAAAATTTTTAATTCAAACAAAATTAACTACAAAATATCAGAAATATTTTAACACTAAAATTTTTAAACAATTTTTTTTTGGCGAATAAGTATTAATACAAAATAGACTAAAAAAATCAGGATAGATAATCTAATAAAAGCAACCAACCCTTAATAGGATATTTTTGAATTTAGACAATGCAACAACAATCGAGATTTTTTTCTCAATATATGCCATAAATGTTATCAGTAAAAAAATACAGGTGTTTTTTTTTCGTGGAAATAAAATGTAAAAGTAATTTGGTCACTCAATACAATTCTAATTAATTTGCTTAACTCTTATCAAGTTCACATTTGAAATGGGGGAAAAACTTTCAACAAAGGAATCATAATAATGGAAACAAATTTGGAAAAATTAACAGATTTTCCATATTAATTTAAATACTAATCTAATTAAAAATATATATTAAAAAAAAAAGTATTTCTTTTCATGTAACATAAGTTCAAGCTCCATAATTAATCATTAAAAGTAATAGATAAAAAAACATTTGAATTGGAACTACTCTGAATTAACTTACAAAAAAAACTAATGTAGAATATTAAGTAATAACAGAAATTCATCTTCAATATTCAATTACTCAAAACTACATATTATTTTTATATAATTCAAATAAGTGATATATATATATATATATATATATATATACCAAGGTCTAAAAACATTTATCGTTTTAAAAACATAACCTTTAAAGTTTATTCGGGATATCTCAAATCTTTACGCCTGTTCTGTAATATTTTAACAACATATTTTAACATTTAATATATATATATATATATAAGTCTAAAAACATTTATCATTTAAAAAAAAACCATAACCTTTAAATTTAATTCGAGGTATCTCAAATCTGTAGGCCTATTCTGTAATATTTTAACATTTTAAACAAAATCAATGGTTGTTGAAAGTTACAGAAAAGGTCTACTGCATTTATTTAATAAAACAAGAAACTATATATATTATAATACATCACAAAATTGTTAACAATTTTCATAACATTTCGTTTCTAAATTAAATAAAAAATCACTCCCCTGCATACTACTCTTTTAAAATAAATCATTACTTATTATTCATTAAAATCATTTTAAATTCACACAAATTGAACATAAATCACATAAACTAAAGACACCCTAATGTCTAACACTAAGCTAAGCTTTAAACAAATCATTTTTTTATATTGTCGCTTTTGTTTTTGGAATATTTGAAAACATTAATTCAACGCTATGTGCTCTGTGTCTTGTTATTTTCGTTTCATCAACACAAAACGGCAACAGTCAACATGTCAAACACAAACAGTGAAGAAGCTTTCAATATTCGTACCGGCTTTGTCAAGCCCGAAACCTTGGAAATAGCCAAAAATGAATTACGTGAGACACCAGAAATTAAAGAAGCAGCCATTAAAGAGGTAATTTTTGAATCAAAAAGAAACATTTTGGAAAAAAATAATCAGAAAAAATTCCAATAGTTTTAGAATTCGTCTTTTTAAAAAATAAAATAAACAATAATAATTTATTTTTTTAGCTACGCGAATTGTTAAATGCCTGCCCAGATCTTAAATACAGAGATGATGATGACTTTTTGGTTATATTCCTGAGAGCCTGCCACTTTTATCCACAGAGTGCATTTGAAAAGGTATGTAGAAGATGGTTTTATATCCCAATAAAATAGAATGTGGTTATACGAGATTTGAGGACTATGAAAACACTCATCATATTTTTTAGTTGATCTGTTCCTGAACTACAAGAATCAACAAATTTTTACTACGTTAACAATTAGTAAATACGGTAACAGACCAACAGACTGCAGACTTTATAAATTATATCAATGTTTACAAATATCGTCATTGGAAACCATTTGAATACAAATTTACAAAAAATATTCAACGAGAACCTTGAAGTCTTGTAGTCTACAAATTATTTAAATTGATTGTGTAAGGTAGGGAGCGAGTGAAATAAAAACAAAAATACTTATAGTGATGTGGAATTTCTTTAAAACTTTTCAATTTTTTTAAATAAAACTATTTTTCTGTGCTTCTTTTCAAATCAAGTGATTGATTTATGAATTACCTTATTCTAATCTAAATTTCAGATGATGTCTTAATAATGTACAAACAATTAAAAAAACTCCTTTCAATGAAGACAATGGATTTTCTTAGACAAAGCCTTCTCATATCAGCAAATTGATACAAAATAATAACATCCTTTTCGTATTATTTCTTTTTTATTAATTACCCAACATTTGAACTTTCATGACTTCGTTTTTGAAATTTCTGATAAGAAATTCTCCATGTCCAATAATTATTGTCCATTGTTGCTAGTACATGACGTGCATGCACATATGTATATACACATGTCCATAATTAGCATTTATTCAAAATGAAATTTTGCAATTTGACGATAACAAAGAAGCTCCGTGTATATACCTTTGACATGGTTTTGGTTTGTCTCTGAGACACATTAAAGACTTCTTCGAGGAACAGAAACAACAACAACGAAATGTATATATTATGAGATAAGGGACAGACTATAAATATTAAAATAATTACACTAACTAATAATAATTCTGTTCGATAGAGGCGTCTTTATTTCTGACATTTCAACTAATAAGATCCGTGTGTATTATAATTTCGTAAACACTTGAAAAGTCCCTTATCATTGAAAAGAAGAAATTTCCATTACTATCTGTAGAGAGGGGGGAGAACGCAAAAAACTAATCTTAAATCACTTTTGCTTGTGGCTCCAATGTATATGAAAATAAATTACAGTAAAACATTATTAATGGGTAATCTTGGAAATTGAAAAAATTGTAAAAGACATTAAAAAGTAAAAATGTTTTTTAAGCTCCCATAGAAAATTAGATTTACCAATTTTGCAACATTATTTCTTACATACATTGTGAGACCAATTCCTGTTCCAATATTCCAAAATATGAACCTAAAATTACATTTAAATTTATACCATGCAAGCGTCTTAAATTCTCCTAAAAAGAGTTGTATTTGAATATAACAAACGTACGGTCTCTCGTCGTATCGCTCAGAATCTTCCAACAGAAAAATAACTCCCAATTCTATTGCTGTAAGCACCTGCACCTTGCATCTTCTAAGGTCATATTCTTAAGAAGAAGTAACTGAAATAAATACTTTCGTTGGTGGGAAAGGGCACCAAAATGTATGTATAGAGACAATCACACAATGAGTTGTTTGTTCTCAGAGGAGACTTTCTAAATTCTGTTGTGTACAAAACAGGAATAGTCTTTTGGTTCTCAACACAACATTTAACATATTGTTGTTAGGGTATAAAATTATTAATTATATAATCCAAACGCCTTACGTAGTTTATTTGAAAATTATCGGCATTCTTCTAAAGTAGAAAATCGTAAATTAATTGTTCACTTAAAATACCAAAAAAAATAAACATTTACCTAAACCATGCCATTATCTACAATAATTAAATTCCATCCAATATAACGATAGATGGCAACTGGTCACAATTGAAAAATTTTATGGCCACAATTTGCTAATCGGCCAAATGGTCAATGGTAACAATCATAAACATAAATATACCACACTGCCAACTGACATCATTATAGCAAGAAAAAAAACAACAATGCCAATATTTACCTTTCTTCATTTTCTCCGGGTTTTTTGACAGATGAAATCCACCTCTGCCTTCCGCAAAGAAAATGCCAGTTTGGTACATGGCCTGTGTGTCGATCATGTCCGCGAACAATTTACCAATGGCAATGTCATCAACGTTTTGAAAAACTGTGATCAGCTGGGTCGTCGTGTTCTCATTGTTAACTGCGGTGAATTGTGGAATCCCAGTCAGGTGCCAGCCGATGATGTCTTCCGTATGTTGTATTTGGTGCACATTGCCGCTCAGCTCGAAATTGAAACACAAATTCGTGGAGTTGTCTGTATCATGGATTTCGATGGACTGTCGATGAAACAAATCAAAGCCTTGTCACCCACATTCTCGAAACGTCTGTTGACTTTCATCCAGGATGCCATGCCATTGCGTACCAAAGAAATTCACTTTGTGAAACAACCTTTCCTCTTCAAAATGGTTTGGTCATTGTTCAAGCCTTTTGTTAGGGAGAAGTTGAACAAGAGAGTAAGTTTTGCATTTCGCGCTTCATTTCTTGAAAAAATAAAACTTATTAACAATTGTCTCCATTTGTTGTTTAGATGCATTTCCATGGCAATGACATGAAATCATTGCACAAATTCCTTTCCCCCGAAATCCTGCCTGAAAACTACAAGGGCAAATTACCAAAGATTGATTACAACGGCAAGGATTGGATTCAAGCTGTTGAAAAACACGAAGGTTACATCAAGGAATGGTCCGAATTTGGACCCGCCAAATGGTAAAATCGTTACCATTTATCTTATTTCATTTAGTAGTTAAGTGTTTCTAAATCATTCCTTCCTTAAGAACCTCCACTTTTTTAGATTTGAGTTTTGTTTTTTAAGTATCTAGAATGTAAATAACAATAATAATAGTAAATAAAAATAAAACATGTTTTAAATAAATTTCATTTGAGTGTCTTTCTTTTTTAACTAATTTTATTCGTACTTTCATTTGGTTTATTTTCTATACGAAACATAACAACAGTATATGTATATCATTTTTAATAAAATATTTCTTGAAATGCCAATTATTTGTCAAAAATCGTATTAAGAAACCACAATTACCTCTCGCTGTAGGTACAAATGTGAAATATTTAATAAATCTTAAACAATAACAATCTTCCACCATTTCCTTCATCTCAATTCATATTAACAACATTTTAGTTTTGTTGAAATGGGGGAAATTGTTTGGCATAACAATAATTGTTGATTGTTGTTTCTTAAATTTGTTACTTTGTTTCAAACAAAAAATAATAAATATTTAGTATGTACTTTTCCTTTTGATATAACATAACAAAAAATGAAATAATAATTACAATAGATAGGCTAATTCCAATTAAGCATAAAGGGTGGTTTCCACATTTTGCACATAACCTCAAATTGTGTATGCAGTTGTTATATTGTTGTTGTTGCTAATGATGGTTGTTGTTGCAATATTCTACAATGAGTGATCCGTTGGGATTTTTTGTTGTAGTTATGATATCATTATTTTTACTCCTCCGTCCTGTTTGATTGATGGCAGGTTTTTAGTTGTTGTTCTTTTTTCATTTCAATAATGGCATAATATCTATTTATGAGTTTTTTTTCATAGTGTTTTTTGTATATTTATAAAATCATATTGGCTGGATCTTCAATAAAGTCACGGAAATATTGCAACCATTTAGCTGCAACAGCACCATCAACAGTTCTGTGATCAGCGGATAGGGTTACGTTCATTACATTAACTTCCTTAAAGCTGTAGGGAGAAAAATTCAAAAAATTAATAAACCAATAAACATAGATGGCGTTAATATTCGAGTCAGATACACTTACCCTTTAAGACTGTCGGGATCAGGCAAAAGTTTCTTGGAAGTGGTGCCTACTGCTAAAATGCAAGACTGTGGTGGATTGATTACAGCACAAAATTGTGAAACGCCTAAAAATATGCAACAAAATGTTTTAATTTAATATTTATTCGAATGTTAATCTTTGTTCTATATTTAAAAAATATTGCCATACATTTAATGTATGTCAGTGTTAGACAATGTGTACCATTAATTTCAAGTAATATATCACGCCTAAATTGTGTATTAATCAATTTTGTGTGAACAGTCCAATTTTGTTTAATAGACCTGCAAACCAGGCATTTATACAGTATATCAGGCATGTATACAGTACTTTTTTTGTAGGAAAAAAATAATTTTGTAGGACTTCATATTGAAAATAATTTTTGATTCTTAAAAAGTTAATATCGGATTTAATTATCATGATACTATACCATTTTTTCATAAAGTATTTACAATATTTGAATCGGATGCTTGGTATTTCATGTAATAATTAGTATTTACATCGAACTGAGATCTACATTATAGATTGACAAGGTGGCTGGCACCAAGGTATAAAATATTCATACCTTTTTTTCTCACCGCGGTATTAAATATTGATACAAAATATTCAGTCAGTTTGTAACTAACGACATTTAAATATTTTTTATATTCAAAAATCTTTAATCTGCACCTTATTCTATCTTGAAATTGACAAAATATCACTCATACTACGGAGCAGTAATTTTTGTGATCTTTCAAAATTTGCATTCAATATAATAATCATTACCTTTTTCTTCATAAAATTAAATAAATTGTTTTTTTAACTTACCAAACATTCCCAAATTGGATACACTAACAGTGCCGCCTTGGAATTCTTGTGGTTTGAGTTTGTTTTCTCTAGCCTTTACGGCCAATTCTTTAATTTCCTTTGAAATGTCAATGACACCCTTGCGATCAGCACTGAAAACAATTGGGGTAATTAGGCCGCGATCGGTTGAAACGGCAACGGAGACATCAACATTGTCGAACCTACAAAAAAACAAAACGTTTCAAAAATGTAAATCATTGCCAAAATAGATATTGTTTCGTTTTTGTCTTACTGTCTAATAACATTGCCCATCCAATAGCTATTGGATTCTGGCACCTTGCGACAAGCAATGGCAGTGGCCTTAATAATGAAATCATTGACGGATACTTTAACACCTTGTTTCTCATATTTCTTATTGATTTTCTCGCGGAGTTTCATAAGCTGAAAAATGATGGATAAGATTAATTTTTAAATGTGTTTCATCTTCAAATTCCATTGGCAGTTGGTTCACTTACATTATCCACTTGACATTCAACAGTAACATAGTAGTGAGGTATTTGTTGCTTAGATTCCAACAGACGTTTGGCAATAACACCTCTAATGTTACTAACGGGTATGTCAATGTAGCCACCCTGGGGAGCAACTGGAGCTGGGGCAGCGGCACCAACCGAGGGAGCAGCAGCCATGCCTGCAAGATCGGAGGATTTTATTGAGCCATAAACACCACTGCCACGACCTACATGCAAAGGTATGGAATTAGTCAATTCAAAGCAGCACAGTTAATAAACACAAAAAGGATTTCAATAGTAAACCTTCTAGGCGTAATTGCTGAGCTTCGGCCAATTTCTTAGCCATTGGACTGGCGTAAACACGTGGACCACGTTGTTCAACGGCGGTCATAGGCCTACCTCCGGCTGGTGCAGCGGCTGGTGGAGGTGGTGGTGGAGGAGCAGCAGCAACTACTGGTGGTGGAGGTGGTGGTGGGGCAGAAGCTGCAGGTGCTGGGGCGGCAGCAGGTTTAGGTGGTGCAGCGGCAGCTCCGGTATCCTTGAAATCCTTAAATGCAGCAACATCGGATTCTTCTTGTACAATGATGCACATCAATTTGCCAATTGCCACATCCTTGGTACCGGCAGGAATAATGATTTTGGCCAAGTAACCTTCTTCGGGTGTTTCAAAGCCCATAGTTGCCTTGTCGGTTTCAATTTCAGCCAAGAGGTCACCTAAAAGGGGAATCATTTGTATTTTATATATCTAGAGGTAACATATAAATTAGCACGCACCTTCATTGAGCTTATCACCTTCCTTCTTTTCCCAACTGACAATTGTACCCTGTTCCATGGTGGGTGACAAAGCAGGCAATGACACTTTTATGTGATCGGGATAATCGGCATAGGCACGCACGAAATTGACACTCCATGCTCCCAATGGTTTTGTGGGTGCAACCAAAATTTGTCTTGAGGCTCTATAAAGAAGAATATTTCGTTTGCAAATTAAAATTAGTAGGGGAGAGGGGGGCACCTTTGAACACTTTTTGCTTTCAAGCCTTATAACCACTGTAAAATTAAAACATGGTTTTTTACAGTGTTTATGTTCAAATATGTATGTATTTTATTCACACATATCAGAAATGCATTAATTCATTAAAAAATATACAAAAAAAGTTCAAAATTTAAAAAAATTAGATCAAAAGTTATTAAAACATAAAATGACTTAAAAACAAAAATTAATAAATGATGGGCATGTTCAAAGGTGCCCCACCCATACGGAAATTTAAAATAACTTTTTTTGTAATAAATATATATGAAAGAAAAATGTTTGAAATGATTGTTGGAATGCAAAAAATTTGTTTGACGAAAGAAAACTATCACAGAATTCTTAAGCAATTAGAGAACAAGATTGCCATATACAAACATGTGGTTGCGGGTCGGAAAAATATGCAAAACAACTAAAATTAAAGTTAGAGGAGATGTGGTAAGCATTATGTATGCAAAACAACTATTAGGGGAGAGGGGGGCACCTTTGAACACTTTTTGCTTTCAAGCCTTATAAATTTTTTTATTTTATAAATTGGGGTTTCTTATAAATTTTTACTAATAGGTACATATGTAACCTTTAAAATGAATATACATATGACATACTATAAGCTTGATAAATATATTTTATTACTGTTTTAATGAACGAACTCAAAGTGTTTGAACAGTGGTTGGCATTTTTGAACGACATGGTTTTTTACAGCGTTTATGTTCAAATATGTATGAATTTTATTCATACATATCAGAAATGCATTAATTCATTAAAAAATATATAAAAAATGTTCAAAATTTAAAAAATTTAGATCAAAAGTTTTTAAAACATAAAATGACTTAAAAACAAAAATTAATATGGTGAAAAATGCAGTTAATTTCGTAATCTCATTAGCCCATTTAAAATTTTGAGAAATCAAAGCCAAAAGTTAAAAACCCCTTTTTTACTCGAGTTTAATAAGCATGTTCAAAGGTGCCCCACCCATGGCATTTTACGGAAATTTAAAATAACTTTTTTTGTAATAAATATATATGAAAGAAATTACATTAGTTATGTTTGAAATGATTGTTGGAATGCAATAAATTTGTTTGACCAAAGAAAACTATCACAGAATTCTTCCTGCGCCCTTACAACCAAATGAATAAAAGTTTACAAAGACACTGAGAAAACAACATGGTCACCCATGCACAATTTTTCGACAACTGAAAAAGCAAGTCAAAGTGGTTTACGCATATAGAGAACAAGATTGCCATATACAAAAATGTGGTTGCGGGTCGGAAAAATATAAAACCAAGATTTTATGAGCGCTGTTCAAAGGTGCCCCACGTTCAAAGGTGCCCCCCTCTCCCCTACTAATGGACAAAATTGTATGTTTTTGGCCAGAACACTTGTTGTAATGGTATAATAACAGAATATTTTAATCATCATGATTAAGAGATATTAAACAAAACACATTCTTCTGAGAAGTATGGATGGTTAAAAAATACTCAAATTTGGACTATCATATAATAAAGCATAAATCCTTTCTTGTATGCCTTCCTCCGGACATTCACAGCTGGATATTAATCTTCACATGCTGTGAATGTAAATTTCTTCTTTATTATTTATTCTATGCCGGTTAGAATGCGGACTGCGGAAATATTCTTATAACTTATATTGATTCCATTCTGCAACGGAGTATGAGGTGAGAAAGTCTAAAATTAAAGCCTCTGCCGCCGTAAACATTTCAGAACAATTTGAACCTTGTAAATCTAAATCAAATTGAAAAAAAATTGTTACGCATAGCCAAATTGCCTATAGTTAAAAATGTTAAATCTCCTATCGAAGGCTGCTTATGTTTAAAATGGAAAAATGAGAATTTTTATATACCCGAAAGAAGGCCCCGGATTAATATAAAAAAATATTTGTGAAGTATCAATCGTTATAACGGATATGTCGTTAAAAGCGATGCCGTTATAATCGATTTTAAATGTGTTAAATGAATGGTTCGTCAATTGAAACCTGTGTAAAGGCCCAAGCATCGAATAAGTAATTTTTCGAAATTCCTGAAAATTTGAACACCCAATAAAGGTCTCAATGAAATAATACACTTTTTATCAATTTCTAAACGTCGGACAGCCACGAAAGGTTTCGATGATTCCCAAATATGAAATTTCAAAATATCGAAACATTTTATTAAAAAATAAATTAAAAATACCGTTTCAACGGCTTGGGCGGTTTGGTCGAAACTTTGCACTACTATATTTATCAAACCTATACTATGTTCGAAAATGGTGACAATAGTTTCACATCTTCTAGTAATTTTCAACATTTGGAATAAGTAAATATCATATGAAGCGGATGGAGCATATGATTTGAATCAAATCGTAATATTTTAATCAATCTTACAATGGTATATTTTTTTCTTGCGGAAATTTCCGTTGAGGCCCTTGGATTTTCTCATGATTTTTAAAATTTACGAGACTGAATCTCCTTTTAATTAGAATAGTGTTTAAGGGTAGCCGGCCATCGGCCGGTGATTGAGACTTTCTCCTATGGACAGGTGGCAACTCCGGCTACGCGATCGCATCTCCTTTTAATTTGAATAGTGTTTGTGTAATCAGGACTTCAAACTCTTTAAATTAATACCCATATTGCCTCTGTACATTTAAAAATCGTGAGGAAATATAAGGGTCCCTACGGAACTTGGGAGTTCTATATCTCCGCAAATACGGATTTCCGCAAAAAAAATTGTACCGTTATAATCAGACTCCCCTACATGTGGTAAACATTATATTATATTACTTCGCAAATTTCTACAACAAATCTCATAAAATTCGAAATGGGATCCCGATGTGTGCTTATGAAACTTCAGGAAGGTGCAGAGATGGACATCGAAATTAGGCATTGGAAATCCTCCTAGGTTAAAGAAGGACCAACACTATAAACGTTATAGAACATTTTATGACGACGAATCTGTACAATCTAAAATCGATGAATGTACAATTTAGAACTATACACAATCAATTGTTACAATTCACTTTGTCACAATTCGATTATAAACTGAATTGCAAAATGTTGGAAGTCAGCCATATTGCGGCAAGATGTCCCTAACAATGTAACCATTATTTAACAATACTATTTCATCACTGCATAACCCATGATTTTGTTTGTAAACAAAAAAAAAATATCGTTGAAGCAAAACTATGTATTAGATACTGATTACCAAGTTATAAATTATATTATACCCAGCACAATCCGAAAGACGTTATGCATATTCCTCATAAACTTAACAATATTTTTCTCTCATCTTTGAATAAAATACTTCAAAAAATTATTATAACACTTTAAACATATATTTGAAATTTTTGACAAATATTACCGGCTTTTTGATATCAACAACAATCGCTTTGCAAAAAAAACAATCTATATTTATTATCAAAAATTGTATGAGCGACCACCAAACTAAACAACAACAAACCAATAGGTAAACAAATACATTCTGTTCACAGTAAACATATGCTATATAAAATAAAAAACTAAAACTAAAAAGAGATAGCGAAACCTATATACCCCCCTATGGCGAATTATTTCCATGGCACTACCACTAACGAATCACGCATCACATCAGTGACGACAACAAATAAGTGGTGACTGATAATAAGGCATCATTCGAGCAACGAATGTTATGTCTAATCATTAATATGGAAAGCGTTCGTTATGCTTTTTATTACCCTGCACCCCTGTGCGGAACACCGTCTAGACAAATTTTCTAGCAATTTAAGTCGGTTGACACCGCAGCTACGCAGACCAATTTGGTTTGTTGCTACAACTATAGGGAAATCTAATATTTATTGGTTGGAACGCATCATTACCCCCACCTCTCGAACGTAGAAAAAAAAAATCACAATTTTCCTTTTTCTTTCATCACCAACGGAACGGCGACAACTGACTGACATTGAGATTACACAACAGTTTATAACCTTAAAAGTGCAACAAAAATTGCAATTGCACTCCCTTTTTCGGAACGGGCCTCTGGCCAATTTCTTCGCGAGTAAATGCATTAATTGTTGTTGGAGCCCACCTCGTTACGTTTCGCTTTATCGGAAATCGACAACACTTTCCGTTTTAATCAACAATGTTATGGACAATTCAATTTTGTTGGTTGTTGGAAAATCAACCCAATCAAAAAAACCGATTTCCACCGACCTTATAGAACCAGCAGTAGGTCAAATCGTATCGAACTACTGAGATGTTAGCAAAAAAGTTGTAAAATAATTGTCATTGACGATAGAATTTGCGAATTGCATATGCTTCTTCTTATTTTGCTATCAATGGAACGTAAAGCGTAAAATCACGTCGTATAACGTACAACTAAAGCCTTGGCCACACGAGCCAACAATGTTGTATGTACTGTCAAATTTTACGTATATGAATACTGTACACGCACGACGTGTACAGTATTCATATGTAATTTTTCGTTTAGGTACTGCTCTATTCGTGTATGTATTTTTATATGTAAACCTAACAAATCAGCTACTTTGTTTTCCAGCGAAAATACTTGATGAAATGAAGTTAGATTGGTTGAAAGAAAAACATCAAAGAAAAATGCATATATATGTGTGAACACAAAAGTAAAATATGTATGTAATGAACCAATTTTGACATTCAAAACGTCGTTTGTACAGAAAAATTGACAGTATATATGACATTAAAGGCTTTAAATGAAATGACATTTGATGTTTGAATACATTTCAGAGATGAGAAATATCATGGCACAATAAATAGGTATTCTCGTGGTACAATCATACAAGGTAGACTACAGCAAATTAGAAAAGCCATATACAAAATGTGTAAATGTATGTGTAATGAAAAAATATTTTTAATTAAAGCCGTTTGAATTATGTATTTTGGTCCGTAGGGAAGAACTTTAAAATTTATGGGAGAAGTCAGTATTGAAATTATA